TTGTTTTCTGGAATGCGTCCAGTTAATTCCCCTAAGTGTTGATACCCCTCATCAAGCTCCAGGGACCTAGGATATCTGCCTTGTCTTTGACAATTATCAGGAACCCTTAGAGAAATGTTTCCTAAAACACCTTTATAGCTGACATATATAATTTTGATTCCTCTAACAACTTTGAAGGAAAAAGTAACTAAATTGCTATTATTACTAAGCTACTAGTCCTTACCAGAAACAGATTTTGAATTTTTGAATATACAGATGTGTCTAGTAGGATATTTTGAAAATAGTACCCAAGTTTAAACTTGAACTTCATTTTGGTTTCATGAATACTTTATATGCATAGCTCAAAGGTAATTTTATACAATGCGCATATAATTTTTTCATCAAACAGGTTTGTTGTGTGGAAGCATCTATTTGTGGTTAATATAAGAGCTCAAGTTTTAGATTTTGATACAGTTTGGGCTCCAGAGTAAGGCTCTTGATACACTTCTTTGAATTATTTGGGGAACCTATGAACCTTCAACTAATAATGCCAAATTTTGGGACCCCCATCCCTCTAATTTAGTACATTAGGTTCTTGCTAAACTATGAATTGTCAGCTCACATCAAAGATTTAGTTAACCTGGAATAGGATTCCAAGAAAGCTGCACTCAGTGTGAATGCCAGGCTGGTGAAGGGATGTACCCACATGTGGACCATGACCGAATAGTGTAATATTGAAGATGAGGCTTTAGCTTCTGTCTTTCCAGTTTATAATATACATGTATATGATAATTTGTAATGTCTAAGGTTTCTCCACGTCCTTGCAAACACATTCCTCACTATGCTTTGCCTGGGTTCTTGTTAGGGACACATTGCTTCTCCATGTTCCTAGAAGGCTCTGCACCTTCAGTACTCTGATGCTGGGACTGATCACAGCCTGCCTTCTGCACTGGGTTCTCCATATCCAGCAACCACCAACCTTCATCCACCCCTTTCTGTAGTACACTGGAAGAAATGCTTTATTTCTATATCACAAGGGGGATAAAACTTTAATACAATTCCAAAGAAAGAAAATGAACATGTATTAATAGTTAAAAGGAAAAGGCACCCTTAATAAGTTTTTCTTGTATGCATAGCTGGCACTAGAAAACCTGAAGGAGTATCTAGCTTTTATAGACCCAGTTCATCTTACCAATAAATAAGGAAAATTACAGGTGCAATCTCCTGTAGTCTTCAAAAATACTGAATATTATTATAGCCCTGTCCTCCAGATGAAAGCAAGGGATTCCAGAGGGGCTACAGTTCACACAAGGCTGTACACCCCGTTAGAAGAAATCTATAATGGAAACCCAGATGTCCTCCTGTAAACCTTACCATCTTTCTCTTCCTGTACACTTAATTTATAGGAAAAAAACCACATTTATGTAATACTTTGTGTCTTTAAGTTAGGAGGTTCACTGATCCATTGTAGTTGTTGGCATGGTTTTGGATATCAAATGCAAGTTTAACACATTTCTATAGATTAAGTAAGTTCTTTTCTCTTATAGTTCCCCCTTAACACAAGATCCAAAGAAATAAAATGTGCATGCCATCACAAGTCTCCCGTGGGGCTTCCCCATACATTTGACCGTCTCGCCTCAACATTCAAAATAGGCACATACATATTTATAACCACGTTCCATCCACTTATGCTTCCTTTCAACTTCCTCTTAGCAAAAGGGCCAGTCAGCCTTCAGCTGAGCCATCTAGCTCATTGGGCCTGTCCTGGTTTGGAATCTGTTATAAATCCACACACACCTCCCGGGCATCTCTAACATTCCTAGGAACTCAGATCTCACAATTCCCTCAAAGGCTTCTTCATCCTCCAGAGTGGTCCACACAACACTCATTCCATAGAAAGCCTGCATCATGAACTGATTTCACCAGGGCAAAATCCCCAATCTTTGACAGAATGAAATGGACTAACTGGCCAGCTGGCCCGCTGAGGTGCCCATGTGCCTATCAGGTGAGATGTCAAGGATGTAAGACCCCAGATCACAGTGTCTCTGCCTCAGGGAGAAATGGCGCTCACTGGGTCTCAATCCAGCACCACAGCCCCGGTGTTAGTGTGAAGCAATGCTGAAGGCGGCTCTGGGGCTGCGCTTGCTGCTTCTCCTTAGCTCACACCTCCTGTTTAATAGTCCCCTTTGATAACTCCTTCCTGAGAAGGATGCTGTCTTTCGGAATGATGGCCATGCTTTACTTTGGAGAAAAGTCAATGCTGCCTTTCATGTGGCCCTTTCGGCTGCAGCCACTGTTGAGCTCAAGAGTTAAAGTTTAGTGCCATTGATTTCTAAAAGAAAAATGTCCCTTGTCTCTGGAGGCACCAGAAATTTACAGAGAGGACTGTGGAATCAGTGTGCTCAGACATTAATGCTTTTTGGAAGCTCTTATGTATATTTACTAGATATTAAAAAATAAATATAACTATGCCATATTTTATGCCTTCAGGATGTTAGTAATTGAGGAAGATATCAGAACCAGCAACATTATTCATATTATAATATAAATACTAGATTGTCCAATGAATATAGATAAGGAAATGCTTCTCATACCCAAAATGGACCCCAAATGCCACACCCAATCACAAATTATCTGGATTTGGTCTTTTAAACCTACCTGTGGGTCAGCCATGCAGATGATCATGGCCTGATCCACTTCCGGTTGCTGTCCAGAAGAAGGCAGCCTACTGACCTGGCTTCAGAAGGGAGCTCTAAGTGGTCCAGTCAGCTGCCCTGCTAGATGAGGAGCCAGGGATGAGCAGGTGTGCACCCACCTATCACCAGTGACCGTCACCCAGACTTCTGTGTGCTGAGCTGTAGGCAGCTCACCCTGTGTGTTCACTGGAAGGGGCTTGTAGCAGGGCTGGCATTTATTTAATCCTGCCAGATGGGACGGCTTATCTTTATTCACACAAGGTCTTTTGTGAGCTCCTGGAAGCTGCTTTTACCCCAGTCTCATAAAAAACACTCCTAGGGTAAGGAAGGGCAAGAGTGGAGATCTAGGGAACATTGACGAAGTTACTCAACATGGTTTTTTAACTTCCTTTTTCTTTGAGACTATAGAACTAATTTCCTCTCATCCCTGTGAATATTTAAGGAGTCAAGCAATAAATGTCCAGATATTGTTCTACAGTGATCAGATTTTTAGAAGAAAGAATGGTGTTTGGATGAAGAAAAGGACCTTTGAGTTGCTATTAGCTCAAAAAGACAGTAGCATAGTGCCTACCTTTCACATTATTGGTTTGGAAAGAGGGGTCCCAGAATTTTTTTCTGGTCTGTCCTGTAACCTTTCAATGTTCCTGTGTGTTAAAATCAAAGACATAGTTCTTACCTGGTGACCTGTTATCAGCCAAGAAAAAGCCAACAGTTTTTGTGGGTGTGATTCAGGCCAGAAGGAGCATGTCATGTTTCATGAGGAAAGCAAGAGTAAATAGATATTAGAGGGATGAGCAGGGGCCATGCCAGGAAGGTGTGCACAAACTGCATTCCTTCTATAGTGCCAAGGTAACAAGGAAAAGTTGGCCAGACTTTTTTTGTTTGTTTGTTTGGTGTTGTTCTGGAAGTGAAGGATGCTGTTACATTTGTTTGTCTGTATGTTGTTTTGAGACAGCTTTATTGTGTAGTCCCAGTTATACTGAATTCACCAGGTAATTTAAGCTGACCTTGAATTCTTAAGTTTCTTACTGGTGCTAGGCTTTAACATGATCAGGTTTGCACAAAAGAATAATCATACTAGCTCTACTGTAGAGATGAATTAGAAGTGGGCTATAGCAACAAGCAGGAAGACCAGGATCATGGTCTGAACTAAGGAGCTGAATAGCAGAGAAGACAACAGCAGGCAGACTTTAAGGGCTTGGGAAATTAAATGAAGGAGAAAGCAAGGAAGAGAGCTCTGCTCATGGCGTCTGGGCCCTGCAGTAGAATGCCTTGACCAGAGGAGGAATCTGGAGAGAGTCATCAAATAAGGGTGGAAAGGGAGGCCAAAAGTGCTTGGCAGACCGCTCACCCCAGTGTTGTTGTGGGCTATGTATTTATATACCTACTGCAGCTAAGGATTGCTCACACCATATAGCCCATATTACATAAATTAATTCTATAACGTGACGATCTAAAGTGAGGCTCAGAGAGATGCTTTCCTGGAAAAAGACATTGGCTGCTCAGTCTGATGATCCGAACCCAACATGGCCAAAGAAGAAAATCAGCTCCTGAACATTATCCTGGGACTCACGTAATACACAAACACACGTGCACAGAGACAGCTCAGTTTCCCTTTTATCTAAACTGAACAAAGGTATTGATGTCCACAGACTTGAAAAATATATCAGCCTCTACCCTCTCTAAAGATTCCAAAAGAGCATTGACACAGAGAGATGAACGAGCTGATTGCATCCACAGCCAGCATCCATTCATCTCCAGAATCTCCGAGAAGCCGACCCGCTCATATGGTTCTGATTGATTTTAATGGGATTCCCTTGCAAACCATAGATTCCAAATTATCCCTCAGTAGGTATAACATCTGTTGAAGACATATTATTTATCCTGAATAACCCTTGGGTACTATTACACGAAGTTCTGACAGAAGCTGAGTACATGGTCTTTTTATAGTCACATGCCAACTGTTCACATTTTTTTATTTCTTATAAACCACACAAGATACTTATTTATAACATTTTAATCACATTTAATTTCATGTTAAAATATCAAATTTAATCATAGAAGAGACTTTATTTATTTTTAAATTTTGCTTTGGTTTGGTTCACAAAGAATGTTTTAGTGTAGGGGAGGAATTTTTTCCCCCAAGTTTGAAGTTTGAACAACTTTGTAAGCATTCCATGTTCAGCTCACAAAGAAAGGAATCTGCATATGAACTTGTTGCAGCCAGAAAAAAAGGTCTGAACATGCTCATAGTCTATGGGAGTTATCTCTATCCATAGAGGCTGCTGTTGATCCCTTATTCTTCTCTTTTCTTCTTTCCTGTAGGTCACTGGGTTGACTCTGTCTCAGGACCTTGATGATCTCGCCATCCGCTACCTGGCCACTGTTCAATCCATTGCTGTAAGACACTTCAGTAATATTTCAAAAAACAAACAATCAAAACCTCTGTGCTCTCAATATGTTTTGACCCACAGATCTGTGAGATGCACCATAATGCTTTGGGGGCCGTTTCTCAATTAGAAGACCACTTGCCACAGAGAGATATTTGCCTGTCCAGGCAGTGATGCTAACAAAGGTTCTCTCTCACCTGCCTTTGTGACAAACTCACTGAAATGAAAGCCACAGGAAAACCCCTGAGCGTCGTGTTTGTCGTTTGCCTGATGTCTTCTAAAGCAAAGAGGCAGATTCCAAGTACATGCGTAGCTGGGAAACTGTTCTCATGCAGTGTTTGCTTTTGTACAACCCATAATACTGTTCGCATTACCAAAGAGTTCTTTCTAAGGTTCCTTTAAATAGTAAGCCTCCCCAGAAACTTTTGGTTTGGGGTAGGTTAAAATGATTAAGGAAAGAAGCGAGAACTTATTCTGAAACGTAAGAGGCTCTTAAAGTGAGGTCCAAAACGTAAGCCAAATCCTCGAAGCTCAGACATTGCCTAAGGAGTCTTCTTGTGCAGCGGCGCTCCACCGGTGGGCTGCCAGCAGCTTCTAAGCCCTGACGGCATACAAAAGTTGGCGCATGCGCCTCTATTAGAAAGTGCATTTGCGGAAGTGGTTCATGACTTTCAGCATCTTAGAGAAAATGCTTTTGTTAATTGTAGGAAGAGAAAGGAAACCCTCAGAAAGGAAAACTCAGCTTACTAAGTTATGAGGAGCATTAAACCCATGGCTCATTATTATTATTTAGGTTTGTGTATGTGGATATGTACATGTCTATGAATGGCACACGGGGCTGCCAGAAGAAGGCATTGTACTTAGGAACTATAGTGAAGGTGGTTGTGAGCTGCCAAATGTGGATGCTGGGAATTGAACTCAGCATTCTGGAAGACCAGCAGACTTTTTATTTTTATTATTTATCATTATCATGACTGTTAGTGATGTTAGGGGTTGAATCCAGAGCCTTACCATCTAAGGTGAGCACCCTACCCAGGTTTGGAAACCTGTCTCCATCCCTAAACAAAATTTCAGTTTGCTTGTTGCAGCTGTATAGACATAAACAATATTCACTAGTTGTTTTTTTCTCCCAACAGCTGTTTTTATAGTCTTACTATTTTTAGTACATGCATGCGTATTTACCCATATCACCAGCAGAAGGACTATGTTAGTACTCATACTTACCCACAAGCCATGTGTTAGGTCTAGAGAACAGAGCCCCCCAGTCACCACAGTACGGTCCCTTCTACAGAGCCATTGCAAAGGCATATAGAGCCTGCCCATTCAGTCACACAACCCCTGTAGACTATAGATCAGACTGTTTCTCTCTTAAGCGACTTACCTCTTGACTTATACCTTGACCAGGTCAGTGACACCGATAAAACCGCTTTCTATATAGAAGCTACAAGCAAACAAGCAAAGAAGCAGGGAAAAACTCAGACAATTCTGACATCTGTCAAAATGGAGAAAGTTAGGAGTAGATGAAAACGGAAACATGTCTATCTTTATTAAAGACATGCAGTAATCGTGTTTTGAAACCAAGAAGATTTTCATGATACTCCTAATTCAGAATAGAATTTGGAGATACTTGTGAGATACACATACACACACATGCACACATACCTATATATGCATATGTATATGTATATGCATGTGTGTATGTGTGCTAAATACCTTATGCCATCACCTAATTTAACCACACGTTGATATTATGTTCCTCAGTCCACTGACTAGAATCCCAAGCCTTAGTACAGCAAATTAGCTTGTTCATTGCCACATAGGTTATATATGCCAGACCAGTGATGATCGGGCACAGTTTATAAAATAAAACATTAAAGTATCGAGGCTGTTTTAATGTTTGACTTGTGAATGTCATTGTATGAAAGGGCTTGCAGTTGGCCCAGTCACTTCCATTGAAATGAACAGTTCTGGAAAACAAGAGATGCATGATGCTCACATCTTGTGAGCAAATCTAAGAGGTGGACATGAAAGACAAAGCTAAACAGGAGAAAGATCAAGGCCATTACCCCATAGTGGTAAGGACTGTGACCCTTCAGGGGACCTCAAACTCTGTGCCTGGCACCAGAGTGCCTTGCCTGTCCAGGTTGTAAAATGTCAGCCCTGCATACCACGGGGCTCGTCTTTACATTTGAGGTGAGGGCAGGCTGCTTGCCAGGGTCTCAAGAGCTAGTGCACACTGGTTGTGCACACTGGATGTGCACACTGGTTGTAATGGAAACCCGTGTCCACCGCAACCCCAGCTCCCGCTCTTGCCGCTTTGTCACAGTGTGGTTTCCTTTGATCTTTTCATAAAAGCTACACAAGTGAAATAAGTTTTCAGACATTCCCAGAGCACCTTTTACTTAACACATATCAGAAGCCATCATTCATTTGGCCTGAATTTTTTTCCACAGGCTACTTTTCCTGGTAAGAGCATTGCAACAGGAAGCTCAGGAATGAAAAAGATTAAATTTAATAATGCATGCAGGAGAGGAGGGGGGAAGAGCCTGCTATGTTTTCTCAAGTAACACACATTTGGGAAATCAATCTTATATTTAATGGGCCATACATATATTTAAAGCGATCCTATTTTTTCTGTCTATTGTCTTAATGACCTTTATAATTCCATGCAGTGAAGACATTTTAAGACAGATTTCCTGATAAAGCTTTACTGTAGCGTCAATTTAATTTGGGAGGGGTTCCATCTGTTTGAAAAAGTGTGTGAGTGTACTGATTTTCTAGGCAAAAATGTGCATTTTAATGAAGCATTTTGATGACAGATATTTTCCCATAATGTTCAGCTTGGGAAACAAATTGTTTCCTTCTTCCTGAATATCGCCGTAGAACCTATTTGTTATTGGTAAGTTAGACAGTTCCTCTGCATGAATATCCATGGTTGGCACTCTGTAGCAATGGAATGAATTTAAAGAGAAGAAAGTTAGCGCCAGCCGATGAGAAACCCCTCCATTGCAGTGAAACTCTCTCTTGCTCGGCTTCTTTGAAAGACCTGTCAGCCACTTGGGTTCCTCCACAGCTCCTCTGTCTGTCAGAATAGACCCTTAAAAAGTACTATTTGCATTTGAAGTCTCTCGATTTGCATTTGGTTCTGTGTCCGCTTGGAATCGCCTAATTTTAATTTAAATTTCTCCACGAAAACATTTTTTCCAGAAAGGTGAGCACAGAAGCCTTGGCGCACAAAGCCCTTTGGTGGGCATTTCAAGAGGGTGGCTCGGCAGACAGGGGAGTCTGGGACACTGAAGGGAAGGCCCCGCAAAGGGCTCCAGAGTGGGGAGTGGGAGACAGGCTGTCACAGCGCTGAAGGGAGTGCCTCTTGTTCGGGTCCTTGCTTTTCCTTCCCAGTCCTGTGCTTCTCAGTGACCCCAGTCATAGACTGCGGATCACGTGGTCCACGTGGGGTGAACACTCTTCAGGTCTCTAGTTTGTCTTGACTGACATGAGAGATGACGTTGATGGGCGGGCGCAGCAGAGCGCCGGGTGAGCCTCACAGCTAGAGGAGCCCTTTTGTGAGCGCTTCAGCGCGCCTGCAGCTGTGGGGCTGGGAGGGACTCGCTGCTGGGTCACGCGCCATGTCTCAGGCCATACCTTTTACTTCTTTTCATGTTACCATTTTTAACAAGCCCCATTCAACTGAATGAATATGATATTATTTGTTTTATTAGTAAATGGGAGTGGGGTTTTAGGTTGGGTAGGAGGAAGAGGTGAACTGCCTGTCAGAATAGGGCTTCTTCAGGGCAAAGCTCCTGCTTCCAGCTGTGCAGATCCCAGTCTTTGCAACAGGTCACAGTTAGGGTTAGGGGCTAGCACAGGCAGTCCTCCTGTGATCCGTAATGGGCTGACGGACATCCATGCCCTCCTGAAGTTATGCATTGCCCTGTTGTGCGTGACATTTTTTTTCTGGGGTTCAAGTTCCCCCAAAAGTAAAGAAAGAACCTCTAGAGAGAATCACTACTACTTAGGCAAGGAATCACCTTGTACGTTACAACATGTTTCATTTTTCAAGCACAGCACCACCACAGATACTCTTTGAAGGCCCGAGTTTTATAAATCCGTATTTTTACCAGATTCACGTGCAACTTCTACAAATATTTAAGACGTCTCTGCTGGAACTGCTGCAACTTTTGTTCCTGGCTGCCCCGGTGCGGCAATATTTATTGTAAACCAATGGGGATGTCATACCCTGTGACCCCCAGATCACCCTCTGATCTTCCTTCTTTTTAGGGACTGTTATGGCCTGGGAACATGTGCCTGGAGGGACACTTCTCTTACCTAGACCCTCACCCAGCAGAGCTCATTTACATTTACATGCAGTGTGTTTAAACAGCTGATGAGAGTCAACTGTGGCTGCTGCCCTCCCTGAGGTGCTGCCAATAGGCTCATTGCAGTGCCGCTCAGAGATCCTCAGTCAGTTACTCATAAGGCAGTTGTCATTCATGAAATTGGAACTGAAGATACTTCCCATCGAAAAGTCACACACACACACACACACACACACACACACACACACACGCACACAAAGAACGGCAAAAACAACGGAACAACAAAACCAATAAAACCACTACAAATTCTCAAGCAGCAGCACTAGGGAAGGAAGCAAAGCCTATGGCTAACTAAGAGTAAAACTGCCTTTTTAAAATAGGCCCTGTCTCCTAGGAAGGTCAGAAGCTACACGAATCAAGTCTCATCAGCGTGACTGATGCCCAAATGCGAGCTGAAGAAGGACACCAATAGACAGCCAGAGTGGATCAGGAACGCCCACAAGGCCTCAAACCTACACAAAGAACTACGAGCAGCTAAGGCTTGTGGGAGCAAGATCAATAGTCTTCCCCAGGGAAGAGCACATCAAGTGGTTATTCAATAGCAAATCGTCAGTCCTGAAAACAATATGCATATATATCGCACTTACATGCATACATGTCGCAACAATTAATGAAAACAGGGACTATGAATTTGAAAGAGGACAGGAGGGATATATCCGAAAGTTTGAAGGGTGAATGATATAATTATACTGTAACCTCAAAAGAAAAGAATTAAGGGGCTGGAGAGATGGCTCAGAGGTTAAGAGCATTGCCTGCTCTTCCAAAGGTCCTGAGTTCAATTCCCAGCAACCACATGGTGGCTCACAACCATCTGTAATGGGGTCTGGTGCCCTCTTCTGGCCTGCAGGCATACATACAGACAGAATATTGTGTATGTAATAAATAAATAAATGTTTTTAAAAAAAAAGAAAAAAGAAAAAAATTAAAAAATAAGAAAGAAAAAAAAAAAAGAAAAGAATTAAAATCCTAGGCCTGCTTAGCCTTATTCCCCAGGAAAGGTGAGCGTGCTATCGGCCCCTTCAGCAGTCCCACCACTCAGGACAGTCAGATCCCCAGCCCCAGAACACAGGACAATCTGACACGATAAGGAGTCAAGTCAAAGCAGGAACTCAGTTTATTACTCTGAGCATCAGCTTATATAGGTTAAGTGGCATCGTGTGATGCGGGGGTTCCTCCAGCCAATTGAGAGACAGCCAAGCCCTCCCTCTAGCTGGAGGGGCATCTACCTAGTTTTTGTTCACTCAGTTCCCTCAAACTCGAGCCAGGCTTTTCTCTGTCCTACAGGCCTCAAGGTACAGGCCCTGAGATAATTTTGGCCCAATAAAAATGAAATAAAAAGTAAAGAAATCAGCTGTGCTAACAACCTGACTGTTTTTCTCAGTGCTGTATTACTCCTGAGAGAAGCAAATGGTGACTGCAGGGGTTTGGAGTCAGGCAGTCCCAGGGTAGAATTCCCTGTATTAACCAGCTGTGTGACCACAGGCGACATTATCTCCAAGGCTCAGCTCTCTGGGCATACAGAGCTCTGGGTGCCAAGCCAAGGTCATGCCAAATACAAGTGTCCCCGGTCACTTGTTTCCACTGCCATCCTATTGTTTATCTCTGCTTTCTCCTTTCAGTTTGGGACACGTTTCATCATTGAGGCCATGCAGGCAGCGGGACACTCTCTCAGTACCCTCTTCTTATGTGGAGGTCTAAGCAAGAATCCCCTTTTTGTGCAGATGCATGCTGACATTACTGGTAAGCCGCCTGTAGTGGGAGTGGGGATGATACCCTCTTTGGGTGGTCAACAGATGGGTGTGGCAGCTTAAAGGCAGGCTGAGGACAGGAGGCCATTGGAGGTGACTCAAGTTATTAAGATAACTCTACAACCTGTGTCCTCATGATGGGGAAAATGACTCTCAAGTTTCGCCAGTTACTGAACAGAACACCAAGGCTGGCAAGGACAGATCTTAATTTGAGCATATCTTTGTTGACTGCTTCTGAACCAAGCCTTGTGAGGAATGTTGAAGGTATAGAAATGAATAAAACATGACCTTGGCTCTGAAGAGCCCAAGGTCTTCCCAGAAAGGCAAACAGCTCACAGACACAGTAAATACAGTATGACAAGAGCCCTGGGCGAGAAAAGCATAGAAGGAACTTCACTCAGTTTTGGGCTGTGCAGTACAGAGCAAGTGAACGCAGATCCCAAATACTGACGATAAGGTGTCTAACTGTAGGCTGGGAGTGTACCAAGGGCCCCAGACGCTGAGATTCCTTCTCAGTGCCGAAGAATCAGGGTTCTGATCTTAAAGTCAGACACTGTGTATCTTGTGATGGGCATGGAGGTTGGGAATAGTGGCAGACTGGTATCTGAGCAGAGCCCAGGGTTCCAGGAAAGGATCTCTGTGAGGACACCTGCCAGTGCACACATGCTGATCTAGACTCCCGTCTCTCTGAGCCAATACCCTCACCATTCTTCATCTTCTTCCCAAGTGTCTCCTGGGGACTAGCTCTTCTTCCAGCACCTATTGCTGGGTACTTAGGTACCAAGTCCAAGCATAGGACACAGGGAGGGAAAGGGGGAGCATGGGCATTGTCTGAAGCCTCCACTCCTGCCTGACACGAGCTCACCTTACCCTGGCCTCCATTCCTCGTGGCCCCAACCACCGTTTTCCTTCCACAGCTAGTAAGTTGGTGTCTGGGCTCAAACTGTCTCCTCAGATCTCCTTTTCTGCTCCAGGCCATGCAGATTCCTACATCCGTGATCTTTATCCAGGAGACAGGCGCATTTGATCCGTGTACATGAGATAGATGAAATTGAATAGAGTGCTGTATCTACCTTAGAAATGAGTAGACTGAGGCTCCAGGCAGCATGTAGCGTTAAGAGTAGAGCTAGCATGTTGGAAAGCATGGACTTTTGCTCGCCTTAGCCAAGTGCCTAGCGTGTTGGTGGGAATTACACTACAATCACTCCCCCTAACTGCTGAATTAGAAAGTAGACTGCAATGCAACGAAGCAAACAGAGGACAGGGGAGTAAGTTCAATTGACTTCCCTAAATCAGCCGGTCAGGTAGAAACAGAACCAGATTGTGATTCTGCTGTTGACCGGGGTTTCTGGACCTTCCTTCCCTTTGTGACTCTTTGATGATGCCTGCCCTCTTCCAAGTGAACCACAAAGAGTGAAGTAAACAGAAACACAAGCCGGATTAGCAGGGTGGCTTCGATGAGGCACAGATCTGTGGGGGCTGTGGTTTTCCACTGTTTAGCCTCCAGTTAGTCAATGCCTCCATCCCACTCAGATGGGAGGCTGGAAATCAGCTTTAGTCCAGGGAATGGGAAAAAGGGTAACTGAACCGGGTAGCCAGATATGACCTGGGCACAGCCTGGGCACGAAAGCTCCAACCTTTGTGAAAATGTGTCATCCTCTAGTCCTGTGTCCCTAAGAGTCCAAAGCCAGGGAAAGCCGCTTCGCCACTAGCTCTGTATTGAAAACTCTGTCCTCTGAGCTGGTGAATGGAAGGCTGTGAGTGGTTGTTTGGGTTCAGATTGCAATTGGACCCTTTGTCTCTAACTACTAGCCAGTTCCAGTTGTGGACAAAGAGACCTTTTCTTTGCCGAAAATTCCTCTACTCGTGAGTGACAAAGGGTGGCAAAGTGCATCTGCCTTCAAATGCTTTGGCTTCTGTTAAACTCATTAATGCATCCGATAAAATAGCTCACATTCCAGGCAAAGCCTCCCTCTTCCTGCCTTCACCCAGGGCTCAGAGAAAGGAGAGCGTTTGAATCTGTCCTGTAAAGAGAGGCTGATGGAAAGGTGAGGAGGTCCTTGGTATCCTTAAGTCTGGAATGTCTCCACTTTCCCTGTGCAGAACAGTTTAGAACAAAGCACAAGTCTGGTATGAAATTTTCAGAAACATGGGTGAGAAAAATGCAGAGCAGAGTAGTGGAAAGAGCTGCAGTCCCGCTGTCTGACCTAGGGGAAGGCGCTCTACTTGTGGGAGCCTGAAGTCCCTCTTCCAAAATACCAGCAGTGTTGTGATCTCCCTCATGGAGATCGTTCTGAAGATTGGATGCTCAGGAGTTGGAGTTCCAGGCTCTTGCTTAGTTCCCAGCCTGTTGCTTTAATTCTTCCCTACAGGTAGCCCCATGCCCAAAAGGAGAAGACATGGTGGAGAAAAAGACAGTTTAAAACTTTACAATCAGTTTTGTCCAGGTTAGGAACAGCAGGCCTCATACCGTCAGGGAAGATGGACTGCTCCAGCTAGGGAAATGACAAGGGCATGCAAGCACTTCCTGTGCCCTGGCCATTGGCTTAACTGTGATTTCATAAAGAAAGAAAAAATGTTTGTATGTACTAAGTAACTGTAGGTCTTCTAAATTGTGCCTCTTCAGTGCTGGCAGTTTCTCTAGGGGTTCCTTCTTCCTGTCTCACCATTAGTTCATTCATTTTTTTTTTCCTCTCATAAGCACACCCTGGGTACCCAGGCTGCCAAGTGCTAATATTGGCTGGAGAATGCAGGATGGCATCACAAGGTCCATTACCAACCAGGGAAGCCTCTGTAGTCTTCTGACCATTGTGTAGGAGAGCAGAATACGGCCAGAGGTCAGAGGTGACAGGGCCTGGCAGGGAAGGGAAGCCTGGCCAACTTGAATAAAGGGTTTCTTTACAGAGGTATAGGAAACCTAGGCAACCAGGGAGACCCCTATAGTTGCTAACCTATTTTCATTCCCTAGGCTTCGACATTAGGATCTGGAGCCACCAGCCTAAGATAGGAGCTTAGTCCAGACTTAGCCAGAGGGCACTTTGCAAATGAGAAAAGGGAGGCTTGGAGAGGTTAAGTAACATGTCTAATAGTGCACAGCTGTGTCTGCATGGAAGCCAGAAGTCAAACTCTGGCAGTCAGCTCCAAAGTATGGATGCTGAACTATCACCTGAGAGCTAATGACGGGGCCCCCTGCCTCTACTGTCCAAGGAAGTGGCCTGGGACTCCTTTGTTTCCACTCAAAAATACAGAAGTCGTGGGTCTGTTGCAGAGGAGCTGAGGATAAAGGTTGCTTGGAAGGCTATATTCTAAAACAGTTCTAGGTCTGTAGGAGGCCTGGGTTGGGCATCAGAGTCACACAGGCATGAAGAATGCTTTCCGACTGAGCTGCCGGTCCTATTTTGTGTGGCCTGGTATCTGTCCTTCCCTTCAGGACGGCTGATGAGGCCTGCCCTTGTCTTTTACCAAAGCCCTACGCCCCAGCTCCCACGAAATCCAGACAGAACCCTTACTTGCCATCAATGCCACTTCTAATAGTCGCAGCCACCATGTCTGCAGGGCTGCACACAGACCAGGAAGTAAGTGCGCACCGTCTGAGTGCTCTGTTACTGTCCCGGTGCAGTAAACCCTGTCCCTGTTTAGAACCTGAGATAACCGGGGCTGAAAGAGTTAAACAGATTATGGGGGACTCCAGAGGAAAGGAAGCAGGAGAAGAAGCCAGGCCTGAGCTTCTCCAAGAGCAGTCACACCACCTGAAGGCTTACCTCTCTGAGCTGTCTGCGGGATTCTGCCTTCAGACTGTAGGAGGGGGATGAGGAAAGCTGACCTGACCTGGGGAGGTAGGTGTGCTAACAAGTATGCCTCCCTAGGAGAGGCTGGAAGAGAGCTGCAGTCTTTGTCTACCAGTTCTGCTCTAGAACTTCCTTCTGTGGCATTTACCGTCATCTCTTGACTAGAAAATCAAGAGAAAATCTTGTGAAAGTAGAGGAAATTTTAACCTGATCTTTCAGATAAGGAAACTGAAGAACAGAGATGTGGGAACCCTAACTTAGGCTCCCACCATGAAGTCAGTGAAGACACTGATGTGTAAATCATCTTAAGATCCAGCACACTGGTTCCAGATGAACCTTCAATCTTGGGGACTTGTCCTGTACCTGGCTTCCTTTTGCTCTGCTTACCTTCAAATGCCTGTTTCGGTTTCATGTCCACTGTGTCAGCCATTAGCTCAGAGACTCATTCTTCCATCCTTTAGTTACCGTGATCTGGATCCTGTTCTAAATGTCAGAGACATGATAGTAGACAGAATGTCCAGAGGTTCTCAACCTGTGGTCATGGCCCCTTTGATAACCCTCTATCTCCAAAAAATGTTTACATTATGATTCATAACAGTAGCAAAATTATACTTATGAAGCTGCCATGATTGGAGGTCACCATTGCATGATGAACTGTATTAAAGGGTCGCAGCATTAGGAAGGCTGAGAACTACTGGCCTCGGCTTGTGTAGTGTCTGTTTTACCGGGCAAAGGATAAGACAGCCTAAGAAGAAAAATCCGTGGTAGAAAAGTGAAGGGGGAAATCTAGGAGCCAGTGAGCAGTGTTGAAGATGCCTCACTGTTTTAAATGCAAAGACCAAGAAAGACTCAGTTTGTGTTTGCACCACGGAGAAAGGCAGTTACACGGGTATCTGAAAGGGCCCTAAAACCTCCTCAAGAAGATGCAAGAGAGATAGGTCCATGTGGTGGGAGGAAAAGAGAAGCTAGAAGCTAGAAGAGGGTTGTGTCAGACTGTCCAAGGACTTTGACTTATTGGGGAGGAAAGAAGCCCTGGTGATGTGCACATGTGAGCTAGAGAAACAGTCCTTCCATGCCCGGACCTGTCATTGCATCTGAGACTTGAATAACAGGGCACAGCCTGATCCATTCCAGCCTCTACTGGGCCCAACAAAGCATGTAATAGAGTAGAGGGATAAACCCCAAATAATACCAAATAGAGCTGCCAGAAGCCAGAGGCCGGGGTGCCAAGGTCTCACAAGTTGATAGATGTGATACTGGCTACCTTGACGTTCTTGGCCAGTGCACCAGGAGGCACAAGGCAGAGAAATCCCCTGGAACCCAATATCTAAAAACACTGAGGACTTCAGGGAGGTAAAAGTATTGCTGCTTTGACATCAGGTGTTTTGCTTCTGAAGGTGCTTGCTGGCTCCCCACAACCCTGGTCCTGCTCACTAACCAGGGTGTGACTTTGTCCTGTGCAGGCATGCCTGTGGTCCTGTCACAAGAGGTGGAGTCTGTCCTCGTGGGTGCTGCTATTCTGGGTGCCTGTGCCTCTGGGGACTTCACATCCGTGCAGGTATGTTCGGATGCATGGGCGGCTGTGGTCCCTCCCCAGTCTGAGGCTGTCTGTCCTCTTGACAGAAGCATACAACTTGCAAAACACACACAGGATGTAATTAAGAAATGATAGGGTTGCAGCCAGAGAACGGCAGGTACTGGCAGCCTTTGACGTAGTTACTGCTGCCTCCTTTTTGCCTCACCTCTGTCCGTAGGAATTGTCCTGCTTTTCTTTTCTCTGCTTTTTAAAAGAGCTCCTAAATTAGTGAGCCTCAGTTTCCCCTTGGCCATTTTTCTTTGACTAAGTGAAACAGGTAATACTCAAAGTATTGATTTTTCATGTGTACTTTAGAGTTTTATTTGCTTATTTGAACTGCATTGCTTTCCAAATAGTGCCAATGCCTCTGTCAACAAGAAACACGGAAGAAAGTGTTTGTTAAAAAAAATTAAAAGTAAAAATAAGGAACAAAGTATAGGAACCCAGAAACAGTTTGGTGGTGATGATTGAGTACACGGATTTTCTCTGAGCTTCCTGGCAGCCAAGACAAAAAAAGAATGCATGATAAATTGCATAATTCTCATTCTCAAAAAGAGGAAGCATACTAGTTTCTGGGAAGAGACAGGCTTTTCCTGCTGTGAAATCACAAAAGACATTGTACATGCTGAAAGCCATGAAAGGTTCTGAGTAGTAAAATGATACAAAATCTTAAACAATGAGTGTGATGTAGAGGCCACAATGACAGGCTCTTCAGTAACGGATGGAAACAAGTCAGACCCCCAGGTACCAGCTGAAAATCAGAGAACTGAATGCCTTGCTCACACGAACCAGGTGTTCTACCAGTACCCCAACAATTAGAGTTCGACTTGCCGTGACTGTCTAGAGTGGCAGGTACTGAACTAGGTTCTTTAGGATCGCTTTCCTAATAGTTATAATAGCCTTTCATGGCCCATAAGAGAGACCCAGAAACTTGCAAGATACCTAGAAACTTCCAGAGACAGAATCCCATTTCCCGGTCAACATTCTCCATTCTGGGGCAAGTGGCACATGCCCCCTTTTGTGACAGGGCCTGTGAAACATCTCTCCTAAGGACCCACATCTGCTCATGGACCCGTGTGTGTTTTAATAGAAGCCTTTAATCAGGGGTGGTCTCGTTGAATTGTCCTCATTTTCTGGGTTTCCTGATCCTCTCAAAAAACGGGCTGAAAATAAAGAGACACTGTCGTCAGAAAGGGCACCTCTGGCTGAGAAAGGCTGAGGCTCTTTTTCTGCCGTCATTTTCTAACCAAACCCACGTAGTCCTGAGCTCTGTGCTTGCTTGGACACACTCAGGGTCACCTGTCATCTTCAGTGCTTACTTTTTAAAAAGTGCTTGAGAATGGAGCTGGACATGGAGCTCGGTGGTTAAAAGCTCTCTACTGCTCTTCCAGAGAACCTGAGTTCGATTTCCAGCACATTTGATGGCTTCTGAGCATCTGTGACTCCAGTACTAGGGAGCCCCCTGCTCCCTTCGCTTCTGTGATCACCTGCACACATACAGGTGGTGCATGTGCGTTCATCTAGGCACCCACACATACACATAAAACAAAAAGTAATTAATTAATCAATAAAAAGTAGTGTGCGAGACTAATTGCCTTTGGTATGATTGACTATAGAGATAAAAAGCCTAGAAGTCTTTAAAGTCTTTATAGGAAGAAAGCCCTGGGGTGATAATATCTGGAGCCGCTTTGGAAATATAAATATAAATACTTGGCATTGTTCATTTCTTCAAAGACGAAACAAATGGCCTGGGGACCAGCTTGGACTCTGCAAGGTGAACTGAAACAGACCTCCTTTCTGTCTGTGGTTCATACTTTTCAGCCTAAATTTCAACACAATCTTATCTTAGAACTTTTAAGATCCTAGCTTGGTCCTCACAAGAAAGCTCAGCGCTTCCTGCCAGCTACTCGGTTCCTGCAGCCGTCATGGTGGGTCTCGTCTAGATAGCCTGAGTCTGGTAGACACGGCGGAGTCATCTCCTTCGGGTAAAGAGAAGGCTAGAAAGAAGAGGTTGCAGGAGACGTGGATTGGCAAGTTAGAAAAGGGCTGATACCTGCCTTGAGAGAAGGTGTCCCACAAGGGCATCGTCAATGGGTAGAACTTGTACCTTCCTTTTCCTATACCGGTGGATGAAAGTGGAGCCGTAGCAATGATTTTACTCAAAGCTTTGGCAAGCGCCTTCGTGCCATAAGCCTGAGAGGATTTTGTCAGCTGGAAGAAAGGGACAGTGGGTGGGCTTTTCTGGAAAGGAGTTAGAGAGGCTGTGTCCATGTTCCATTGCTGCTGCAAATCGTGACACACGCTGACGGTTCTTCCTCACACCCCTGCTCTTCTTTCACTCTTAGTCTCAGCCGCCTTCTCTGACCCTTCCCTACCCTTCTCCGAGTCTTCTTGCTAGTCCCTTTTTAAAAGAGGAACCCCCAAATAGAGGGGGAGCAGTGTTCTGATGAGCTGTCCTTCAAGAAGCCTTTTAGACCAACCCCACTAAAGAGTGTATCTTCCTTCACTGCGGCAATGCTGTGTGTCTGCAGTTTAATCCCGCGCAGGCAGGACACCGGTATGCTGCTCTTGGTGTCAAAGTCCAGACATTGAGCTGTGTCAGGGGACAGGCAGAAGGGAGGCTTCATCCATCCTCTTATTTCTATGTGTGAAATCCTCATGGTCTTGGCCTATGACATTGCCAGCTACTTCCACGGCACTACAAAAATAATCCCCTCTCTTTCCAAGAAACACAAAACACATCATTTGGCGTTGAGAGCAAAGTATAATACTATGAAAATTAAAAAAAAAAAACATAAGTCGACGAACTTGCCAGTCCGATTATATTTTTCTTGGTACAGACAGAGATAAAGTAAGAAACTAGTTTCAGGAAGTTGTGAGAGGAAAAAAAAAAAACAACTAAATGGTAGAAACAGACATAAAGTGCCTTGCCATTGACTGCTTCCTCCAGGCCTCCCGCGGAGGTCATTAACCTTCGATAATTTTTTTTATCGTAAGAAGCAAGTTTTGTTCCACAGTGTTTTTTCCCAGCCGTGCTATTTATCTTGAACTTTCCTCTCCTTCCCCCCGCTTAGCTCCCTAAAGCAGTGGATTGAAGAGCCCTAGGCAAACAAACACAAGGGGCAGTCACAGTGCCCAGCAAGCACCCACAGCCATTGTAAAGGGAGTGCTGGCATAAGGAAAATGGCCAAGCCCATGGGAAGCTGCTCCTTGGCTCACCACCTGAGGGGCGCCCCATCAGCCATCGACTGCCATTAACTTCCGCCAGACCCCTGCTTTGCCCAGACTAACACCTGCTTGCACATGGTAGTTACTCACCCCGTCTATGGCGTGTGACCACAGGATAGACTCCCCTCAATGAGGACAGCAGTCCCCCCAGGTCAGTCTGAACACATGGTCCCCTTTTGCTTGCAGAAGACACCCCTTGCAGTATTCACATAAAATTTGCCTCATAGAGCCACATAGTTCATGAACTATGTATGATGCACTTCAAAGCCTTTGGTTGTGTATACAACATACTTCTTGTTTTGGTTTTGTGTGCGTGCATGTGGGGTCAGCTTACTGTGATTTGAGTCCTGTTTACCTTTCTGTTACCGTATATATCAGTTTTCAGCTTGTAATGTAATGCTATGTCTCAGCTTCTGGAGGTTGGGAATGGCTGAGGACAAAGATATTTAGAAGTTTGAAACCAACTGTCTCTTGGCGCGTTCAGTCTTAGTTTGCTTGCCTTGCCCCCACTCTGCCAACCTTTTTCTGAAATAAAACTGGTAATGCAAGCTTCTTGATGAAATATTAGACAATCCAATAGAGAAAGAAGAAAGATGTAAAAACACTGATCGTAATAATCTAAAACTACTTTAACAATTCTAATTAATATCCTAGCCTCTATTCTTTTTTGTTTGTAATTGAAATCATTTTAATTGTAAAGTAGGTTCACATAATAAATATTGTTTTATAATCTTTTCCTCCACCCAAGAACATGTAATAAACCTTTTAATTTAATGAACCATTTCCCCTGGCTGTATAACTTGCTATCCTGTGGTATAGGCCTTATTTATTCCATTGGACCTCGGCTGTTTTGGCTGTTTTCGAAAATGTTGCAGTTAACATCTCTGTAGCTAAATTTTTGCTCATAGTTCAAGTTATTTCCATAAAATAGATCATGGAGGTATGCAGAAGTTCAGTGAAAATCTCTGCTTAATTTTTAGGACCTTGTTATACACAGTAACAATTTATATACTTACCAATAGCATCTGAAAATTCAAGGTTCATGTTTCTTGTGAATTAAGCTCCATTTATCTTTCGTGCTCAGGCGTCTCCTAATCCGATTCATTTCACATCTGGTCCTGATAACAGCATGTATAGTAGACGTTTGCCCTTTACTGCATAAGTATATGTTTCTGGAGATATGAGATGCTGGGTTATAATTACGTAGACTCAGATTTCAGATTTCATTTTCTTAGTATGTATTCTGCCCAGTAAGCCAGTACCCATGAAAAAAACAACAAAAGACTTTGGAATGACAGTTAACAGTTTTAAAAAGAATTAAGTTGAGAATGTGATGTGGGCTCTAATACATATTAAATTTATTGCCACAGGTAATTAACAATGCTTTCTTATCTTTATGCAAGCATCCCTTGCTTCTAAAGCACAGAAACAAATTTGGGTTTGATTAATTATCAGTCTCTTGGTTCCAATCCAGTTTGCAGAATAGCACCCTGGGTGTAAAAGTCAAAATATTTATCTCAAAATTAGAATTCTATTTTTAAGAATAAACGACATGTAACATCTGATTCTCCTACCCCTCACAGGCCTGTCGCTTGCTTTCCATCTGTTGCTGTCCTTAGTATCATAGGAACAACCTTGTAGGTGTTAACAGGGCCCACTGTGCAGGCAAATACAGGAAAGACGCCATATAACCTTGATGGTTACATAGTGACCCCAACCCATCTCCTGGAAAGGACATAGATTTCAAGATGGTAGGTGTCTTAGCTGCCTTTCACAGGCAGTACAGAGCCTAGGAAATCACTGCTTGATCAGATGTCAGCCATAGAAATTAAAACACAAGTGTGCCTTCTCTGTTTGATCACATTATCATGCTGAGGAATGTTGTCATACTTTATTATTTGCTGTTTACCTTTTATGGAGATGGATATAAAACACACTAAGGCCTTTACCTAAAATGTAGATTTAGAACAGTGACAGAATTAGACAGAATATCTGGTCTAATGAGGGCTTGAGAGATGGCTCAAGTGGTTAAGAATACTAACTACTCTTGCAGAGGAACCAAGTTTGATTCCCAGCACACACATGATGACTGATAGACATCTGTATCTTGGGTTTCAGGGGATCTAATGTCCTCTTCTAGGCTTCATAGGAACCAGGCAGGTACATAGTGCACAGACATACATGCAGACGAAATACCCATACACATAAAATAAAAATAAAATTTAAAAAATTCATCTAATGAATATATTCTTCCATAGCATTGCTCTTTCCCTTCACTTTTCATTAAGAAATTTTAAGAATCATGTTTTTATAAAATTAACCATGGTCAAGTATCTACTAGGTCATAAAAAACATAGGAGGATTACAGAGGTATATCACTAAAATAAAGTTTACCTCATTCTTTAACTTGATTTTGTTTGAGGCAATATTTGATTCTAGTGCAACCTTTGCTCTCTGTATTATACATACACATGCTTATATATTTATATTGTATCATATATATATGATTAAAGATAAAATATATAATTTTGTATAAATATATGAATATGATCTCTCAAACTATCATTTATAACAGATTTCCATAATGTCCTTGCTTGAATAAACCAAAATGAAGTGAATAAGTAGGGTGTTTTTCTTCTTTCTTTCTTTCTTTCTTTCTTTCTTTCTTTCTTTGCTTTTTGGTTTACTTTGGTTTGGTTTGGTTTTTCGAGACAGGGTTTCCCTGTAGCTTTGGAGCCTGTCCTGGAGCTAGCTCTTGTAGACCCGGCTGGCCTCATGCTTTCTAGACATATACATACAGTCACCACAGTAACTTAGGTTGTGCAATCTGAGATCAGAAAAGACAAAGCCTTTAGTAAAATCAATAATAAATGAAGAAGAGCCCTTACTGCACACATGCATGGACACATTTGCACACACACACACACACATACACACAAGCACCCATATGTGCACACACACACACACACACACACACCATATACTACCCTTACTGGAAAAAGGCTTGATTCAGACTCCTGGAACATATAGTCTCACTACAGTTTATGAGAAAGTTCTGATTGCAGTCTTAAGAACTGTACAAAAGAAAACCCATCTTTACAGTTGCTTGCTGGGGTCTCTGATATTCTACAGTGAACCACTGAGAAAGTATCATTGGCTTAGAAACATGAATGATGCACCTTTTTTCAACTGTATTTCAAAGAATCTTTAGCACTTAAAATTTTATACTGTCCTAGAAGATATATTAAGGAAATTTTCTACACTATCATCATAAGAATCTTACAGATGGGGAAAGAGTACCAGAGGTGCTAAGGGACAAGTCAATTGCTAAAAAGTAATGGTGTCAGAAGCTACGTCCTAGCATAAGCCAATCATTGTGACTATTCTAGAGCTGAGTATCAATACTATTATTTAAAACCTGATTATCAAATTAAGTGGCCAGAAATTAGAATTTACGTGTATGGAAATGTCACTATCTTAATCAAGATCTGCATAGATAGAGCAGAGTGCACTTTCATCTTAGGATAATTTTAGAGAGTTGGGAAGAGGGACTATTTATTCAACTTATGGTGGTAAGGTCTGTTATAAGAAGCCAGAACCAAGGATGGCATAGCAGATGCCTGATTGTGGTGACCCTAGAAGGAATGAGCTATGCTGTTCACCTTCTTTCTCTTGGCTGGAGTGAGTCAGAAGGCAAGAGAGGACCTTGAAGTGCTGTGTGCCTGTCACGTTGTATAGGAGCAGAGCAGGGTGCTGAGAGCCTTCAGGAACATATGAAAATATCTAACACGGTCTTGTAGACGGGGATATTCAGCTCACTGTATGTGACTGAATCCTGAATGCTTTTTTTAGATCTGTGATAAGGACATTGCCTCAGATGTGAATCACTACGTCACCAACTGTACCCTTTGGTTTGGCCTACATTTTATTCGTAGTAAGATGTTTTCAATGAAGGAATCAGTGGGTTGACTTACGTTATGGATGGAATGAGTTATGTATGCCGCGAACATGGGCCATTTCAGGAGTCTCCTCGCTCTGCAGATGATGAGAACCCTTCTGGTAAAAGTACTGAAGACTCCCATGTCCCTAGTTTTGTTTTCCTGCTGTAGTAGTATCTGCTAAAAATAATCATTCTAATGTTTTTTATTTGTGTGCTTTGAATTAGGCACAGAGCAAAAGCGTGTTAGATGAGTTTTGGTTCTGTTATTCTCCTCCTCCTGCAGGTGCAACTCAAGTTAGAAACATCAGTGATGTGCCCTTGCTCCGCTCTCCCGGGTAGCCAGAGGCAGAACTAGCAGTTGAGCCTAGATCTGTCATGGAAGGCGGCACCCTTCACTGTGCTTCGGTTGCCCAAGAACCATAGTTCAAATTTTCCAATATTAACACCAAGGAAACAAAATGGAGTTGAAGAGGAATTCCCTAGAGTGACAGTCATGGCTGTGTTCCTTGCTGCAGGGAACACCTGAGAAACGGTCCCTCAAACAGTGACACCCCAACTTGTAAGCAACTGTTTCTAAGTCTTTCTCAGTCCTGCCAGCCAGGTGGGAAACAAGTTTAATTCGTTTCGAAGCAGCTGCTGTCTGTTTCTGTGGCTAACCCGGGAGGTT